CCTGGCCTAGGGAGGATTTTAAATCGGGTTCATTTTTAGAAAATTTTAAATACCACAACTTTAAAATATTTGGGTTTTAATTGGTTTTATTCGGCGGGGATTGTGGGCATGTTTCTGTTTTAAAAATGTTGTGAGCCGCCCTGAGTCCCTCGGGAGAAGGGCGGGATACAAATCGAATAAATGAATGAATGAAATGAATCTTCTCTGGCACAGTGATAACAGAAGTGAAACTAGTTATTTCAAAACTCTAGAGTGTGATTAGGAAGATTATAACAATAGCACTAGACTTACATATACCCATTCCACAGTGCTTTATAGCCCTCTCTAAGTAGTTTACAAGAGTCAGCATATTGCCCCCAACAATCTGGGTCCTCATTTTACTGACCTTGGAAGGATGGAAGGCTAATTATCTCACATATTTCCACCAAGGATGTCCTCCGTTGTGACGGTATAAATGTGGTCCTCTCCCAATGAATTTACAACTCAGACAGATCCTAATGGAGAAATATTTTAGATGGCCTGACTAGAACAGGTTAGTGAATCATTTCTAACATGGAAATCAGTTGATCCCTATAATTGGCTAATGTCAGTCTTTGGCTGGCATTTCTGAACGCATTTGTAAAATCGCCCTTGGTCAAGATATTGCTTAGAAAACCTGATGTAACTAGGACATATTTCAAAACAGTGATTATCTGCAGATTGGTTTGGTTCGACTCCTAGTCTTAGTTATGCAAAAACAGTATTAGCCATTTCAAAAAATCTGAACATTCAGGTTTAAATGCAGATGTACGGTATATTGGAGTTTACTTGTTTCAGGAACATATAAATGAAAATAGGAAACAAATACATCCTGCGTTTTAAGGTTTTTCAAATGTTTTGTCTACTATTTGACTAAGTTGCTATTGTTTGTCACTATGTTATTAATTTCAGACACTATTTGGCTTACACACGATAAATCAGCTATAGTTAACACTGCAGTGGCTATTTAAAATATAATGACTATTTACGTACAGTGCTTATGAGGTCAGCTTAAAACGTAGCAAACTGCATTTCTATAAGAATGCTACACTTAGTTATTGTTCATCTTGGTTTCCTTTTTGCGGTTTAATCTGTTGTGACACCTAATCCATTTGATTAATGGTTTAGTGTATTGAAAGAAACCAGAAGATGGGTAAAATCGGTGCCCACATTAAGTATGTTTTGTGAATTGCAGTCAACGTGAGATGTTTCACTTTTAGTTTTAACTATTGTTAGCCATGTTTTAGGATGTACTTGTTTGCAAACATTGATAGTGAAATGGGAGTTAAGGTGAAATCCACCTGATCATAACGGCAGTACTGATCCTAGACATATTTGGTTGAAATGTATTCGTGGTCAATTGAGTTTGTTACTTAAAATCTCACGACCACCTCTTCTCTCTGGGAAAATTGTTGGATTAATAGTTAATGCCATGTGGACTTTTTCTGAGACCAAGGATTTGCTGCCTGGCTAGTATGGTGGAACCACATACTTTTATAAAGAAGTGTTGCCCACTATCTCTGGACACTTGACCAGTGCACTCCTGTTCAGAAATTAGAACCTAGAACCTCAAAATGAAACACACTGAGGATTTGGTGATTTAACAGATAAATAGTAATGGACACATCAGAAACATTATAAATCCATCAATGGGCAATAAGTGTCCCTCCAAAAATAACATTATTAGCATTACATAGCACAGGGTTTTGAAGGAGATGGTAAGGCAGGAATATCTACCCTGGTGGCTATGATTTGTGAAGACTAGAGCAGCTGGCTTTTACTAAGACATTCAGGGTGCCTTCAAAGCAGTCTTGACTCCTGGTAGTTGCCTAGATGAGTCCCTGTAGTTTTCTTGGTTTGGGGAAGTGGTTTGCTATCGCCATCTCCTAGGATGAGAGTGAAGGACTGGCCTAGAACCTTCCAGATGACTTCCTACCTAAGGCAGAACTAGAATTCATGGTCTCCCAGTTTCTACCCTGGTGCCTTCACCACTCTTTATTAAGATGATAATACATAATTCAAGTTAGAGTAGTTTGATTTTCATCTTCAACTTCATGTGGAGAATCAATCCTATTATACAACTGAATGACTCTTTCCTCACTTGATTGGTAAATTGATGGTTACAAGGATTTCCCCCCCCCTTTTTTTTTTCTTGCAATACTGTTCTTTTCACAACATCAAGAGATCTATGTTATCCACCAGATATTAAAATTGCCTGACATTCAACATATTCAGCAGCCAGACCACTTTGTCTTCTTTAGGGCGTAATATGAGTTAGTCTTTGCATTTTTTTTTTTAAAAAAGCATAGATTTAATGACGATGTTTGCACCGTCATCCATATTGTTTTCTTCGTTTTGCTCATGGGAGCATAATTGTTTCACGTTTACTTTTTGCAGTCGTCTCTCAGCTCTGCGTCTGCGCCCTCTTTTCAACCCCATGTGCCTTACAGTCCTTTCAGAGGGATGTCGTCCTACAGTCAGCTTGCCGCCAATTCTTTAATTGGCCAGCAGTATGCAGCATCTCTTGGTTTAGGTGAGTAAACAAAGATCTGCCTGTCACGGAGATGATCGGTCTCTGGGCTGCACCATTTAATGGTGGACTACATATCCTCAGAGAATATTTTTCTGAGGGAGAAATGTATGTCGATGAATAAGGAAAGCATAATTGTTTGGGTTTTTTTTAAATAATTTATTTCAAAGCATTGTGGGAAAATATTTCATTTTGCAACTCTCTGATCGGAAGACATCCCGCCCTGGCACTGACTGATGCGTAGGGTGAGAATTAGACTAAAGATGCATTGAACGTGGGCCATTTCTAAGTTGCTGAAAGCATAGCATGGCAAAAAAACCAGCGTCTCCAGAAGCTAAGCTTGTCGCTTTATTAAAAACTTAACTGCTTACTGGTTTCAAACAAGGTTATTTATTAATTGAAACTAATCCACGTTTAGACTGGCTACTCACTGTGTGGTATTTGTGAGTAAAATGCACAAAGTAATGAATATCAGCTGAACGCTTCCCTAGGGATTCCTTCCTCTTTTCAGTGCCTCTGAGCAGTAACTCTTTTAGGTTTTTCGTAGGGGTAGATCAGGGGTGTCAAACTCAATTTCACTGAGGGCCGCATCAGCATTGCGGTTGCCCTTTGGGGGGCGGGTGGGTGTGGCCAGAGTGGGTGCAGCCTACTGGATGGGCGTGGATGGAGTGGGTGTGGCCTACTGGGTGGGCGTGGCCAGTTCTACATCATTTGCGTCAAGAGTGCCTATGGAAGCCTGGGCAGGAGTGGGACAGATCTGAGGGTCTCTGGCAGAAGGGGGTGGGACCGGGGCAAGTGCCAAGGCATGGTCCACCGGGGCAAGTGCCAAGGCATGGTCCACCACAAAATTGTACATTGGCTCCCGGCCGGCCTGGGCCAGGGCCAAGGCAGGGGGGGAGGGTGTTCCCTCACTGTTTCCAGGATGGCTTCGCGGGCCACATGAAACCACTTCGTGGGCCGCATCTGGCCCCCGGGCCTTGTGTTTGACATGTCTGGGGTAGATGAACGTTGGACTCTGTTTTCTACACGAACACTAACATACTTTTGGTGACCCAATTTTCTCTTCAGGTACAATTCTGAGCGGTGTGAAAATTTACTCACCCTTTCACAGTCGTTCAGGAAAAATAAAGTGTTACAAAACATTTTTACAAAACATTTTTTTTGCCCGTTTCTTCATTTCTGTCACTTCTTAAAGTATTTCCGCATAAAGTTAGCCTGTGACGTGCGATGTACATCTGATGGTGGGGCGACTTAACCAGGATCTGTCTTGTTCCCTGGTCAAATTCTTCCGAGTTTCAGAACTTTTTAAGAATATGTTAGGTGCTTAAACCTTTTCTCTCCTCAGTCGTCTGGATGTCAGTACGGCCCTGTGTCTCACCAGTCTCCTCCTCTGCTTTTTCTTCTCCTCCCTTGTCTGTCTTTCTAGAGAAGCTGGTAAGCCCTCCAGCATCAGCAGCTGCTTCCAGTCCTAGCACTTCTTCATCTCCACAGCCAGTTTCAGAGCCTGACATGTCATCAGAGACACATCTGCTGTCTTCCAAGGGTAACAGCAGCTTGAGGATTCCAAGTTTTAGAAGAATTGCATGGCGTTTGCAAAAGCTTTGTGTTTTTGGTTTTTTTTTGTTTTTTGTTTTTGTTTTTTAAAAAAACCAACCTTTTCTTCTTCCCGAACAGAGTAACATGTGCAAGAATTACTGCAGTATTGTTTCTGAAAGCCTTGGTGCACTTGCTTCTGCTTCAGGTATCAGATGGATAGATGAACAGGAACTCGCTTCTAGCCACTCATTTAACGTTCTGAGGTGAAAACCAGACCGAAGGGAGAGTGCAGGGTAGAGGCAGAGAAATTTGGGAACCTAAAAACACACGGAGAATGAGCTGTTGGAGATTTGGAAGCCTTCCACTTTGGAAAAAAAAGTCCTGTCTGTGCAACTTATGAGAAGAGGGGGGTGGGTGGGTGGGAAATACAAATTAAAGCTGAGAGGAATTATTCCTACAACGTTTAGTATATTGGCAGGTGATAGGACATCCACAAAGCAATTCGTTGTACGTGGACACGTCTTATGAATTCCTGACTGGCGTTGCAACGCAGTGGCTTACAATTGGTGAAACGGTTTCCCCAGACAAATTACGGCCTGGTGAATTTGGCAGCCTGACTAGTTGATGGGCCTGGAGTTCCCTCTTGCTTGAATTCTGTGGCAAACAGGGTGAGGCCAGGGCTCAGCAACAGTAGGTCATAGTTGGGAAGGAGAGGATGTAGCAGTCTCTTTGTTCGGTACTGAAGTAAGTAAGATTTTCCTCAGGGAGTTGATTCTTGTTTTCTTCAGGTGATTATATTATTTCTTCTATGCTTCCTAAGTGCATTTTTGTGCATTTTTTTGAATAATGTTCAACACAGCTAATGCTTGGCGGGGGTGTGTGTGGCATTTCCTTCACACTTCCTCTTGAATTTTGGATTGTCTAAAGCAGAGGTCAAGAAAGAACTATTTGAAGTTGCAAATCTCCTCAGAATCATATTTGGGGGAAGCTGTGTGAGTGGCTTTTAAGTAATAGAAGTTTTCTGGGTTTCTTGCAGTGGATATTCAGAAAGGGTACTGCTCTTTTGTCAATTCGGCATCTTAGAAGTTATTTGCAGCTCTAGAATTTTTTTTCCGCCTTCAGGGCCATTTAAAAAAGGGTTGCACAAATATATCAATCAGAATAGAGCTGGAAGGGACCTTGGAGGTCTTCTAATCCAACCTCCTGCTCAAGCAGGAGACCCCAGGGGTAGGCAACCTTGGCTCTTTTATGACTCGTGGACTTCAATTCCCAGAATTCCTGAGCCAGCCACGCTGAGGGGAAAGGGAGAGGTTTCCAAGCTGAGCCATGCTGGCTCAGGAATTCTGGGAGTTGAAGTCCACGAGTCATAAAAGAGCCAAGGTTGCCTACCCCTGCCCTGGACCATTTCAGACAAGTGGCTGTCCAGTCTCTTCTTAAAAACCTCCAGTATTTTTTTACTGTTTTTTTTTACCGCTTTTAGTTTTTCAAGCAGTAACTTAACGAAGAGAAGGACGAGCGGGGGACATGATAGCAGTGTTCCAATATCTCAGGGGCTGCCACAAAGAAGAGGGAGTCAAGCTATTCTCCAAAGCGCCTGAAGGCAGGAGAAGAAGCAACGGGTGGAAACTAATCAAGGAGAGAAGCAACCTAGAACTAAGGAGAAACTTCCTGACAGTTAGAACAATTAACCAATGGAACAACCTGCCTCCAGAAGTGGTGAATGCTCCATCACTGGAAGTTTTTAAGAAGAGACTGGACAGCCATTTGTCCGAAATGGTGTAGGGTTTCCTGCCTGAGCAGGAGGTTGGACTCGATGACCTCCAAGGTCCCTTCCAACTTTTATTATTATTATTATTATTATTATTATTATTATTATTATTATTATTATTATTATTATTATTATTATTATTATTATTTATTAATTATTATTATTATTATTATTGTGTGTGCCTGTAAGCATATACCTACACAAATCAGATTTCGTGGTTCAGATCTAATTTTCAATAATTTAGTTACGAAGTGGTTGGATTTCATCTTATTGTAGAAATGTGTATATCTCTGTACGATTGCCTACTGTGTAAGTTAGTTTCAAGTACAATTATGTTGTGGTTTTTTTTAAAAAAAAGTAGATATGTGGGACCCAGACAAGGTTTATGGATGATTCTACTTTATATATATAATTTGTTTTCTAGCATATGATGTTTCAACCAGCACCACAGTAATGGAATATTTGATGGGAAAGAGGAGATGAACTTGATCATAAATCATAAAGAGTTATATATTCAGTTAACTGAATTCTGCAGTTGAAGGGTTACAGGAATCCATGTGTCTGCATGCTTTATTTGCCTTCCAAAACAGAAGCTTGATGTGTCCTTAGCAAGAACCTTGATCTTGCTGTGCTTTTATTTGCTTCACAGTTGCTTCATGCTGTTATCAGAGTTAAAATAGCTAGAAAAAATACTAAATATAAAATGTAAGACTTATCAAGAGGACTTGTCAACTCAAGACAGATCAGGTCAAGAAACAATCTCTGAATCATTGTAGTTGCTTTTCTAAATCCTTTCTTGCTGGTCTGTTCCTCCCCCTCAAAGGCTTTCATAACTTCCTGATGTCAGCTCCTAATTCTTTTACAGGCACATAGGCTGAAACCTTGTCTCTTTCCTCATGGAGGCTTTGTTGAGTTTACTTTTATAACAAATTTGCATGTTTGAGTGGAGTGGCTTCCAAATGACTTTTTTTATGGTATCTGTGCTAGAAACAATTTTTCCCAGATAAAGAAACCCATTGAAGTCTAAATGATTTTCTGAAACACACCGATTCTGGTAAAAGTTTGAATGTGTGCCCTCCCAGAAAAAGCTATGTTTTCCCTTGAACCAGATTATTATGGAATGTTTAGATTTGCTGCTTTTAACTTTACTGGAATGGGTAGGTCCGATCTGCTAGCAAATCCCTTAAGTCTGAAATTGGTATGCTTTTATATGGGTACCTTTGAGCATCGGTGGAACTTCGCTGCTAGCTGCCTGTGTCAAAGTTTTTGGTATGGTGAGGAATGCATGATTGTAATCACCTGACGATGGAGCAGCTACCCTTTGTAAATGTGGGGGCATTCGTATGTCATTCTGAGCAATATTCCTTGTTTGGCTTTGGCTTAGCATGCTGCACTTATCCAATCAATTGTAATTTAGTCAAAAAAACAACACTTCAACTTCAGTGTGATGTGTGAACCAGATCGTTCAATTATGTCAATACTCACATCTCTGTGTGAAAGAGCTTAACTTTCAGACTTTCTCCCCAAAGTTTCAAAGAGTGTGATTTTCATCTAAATCTGAGCACCTTGTCTGGTTTTGGGATGAAATATGCACAGCCAAATTTATTTATCCTGTTGAAATGCTGCTATTTGGGAACTATAGGAAAATTGAATTTGTGCCTTTGTAGCCTCTCCATCCGTGCGGTGTTCTTGATCAGCCGCTAATGCTTCCTAGAGTAAGTCTCTTTCACAAGAGAGGATTCTGTTTCAAATTCTTTTGGCAGGATTGAGGGGGGAAGCCAAAATCTCTCTTGAGCACAAATCAAGTTTGGTCCGAGCGAGTGTAGGGGTTACTGACGTTGCTTGGTTTCTCCCAGGTGCTGCTTTTCCATCTGTTCATTCAGTGCGCAAAAGTCCAATGGTGGAGCAGGCTGTTCAGACTGGCCCACTGGATAACAGCTTGAACCCCAAAAAGGCAGTCAAAGCTCCTCCAGCCATTCCACGCAACACCCGTCAGATTCAGCAGAATAACAAGACAAACGGTACTGAAATCTTTTCCTTCAGACAATATGCCAGCGTTTTAAATGAATAATAATTGGAACTACCATCTGCTGTGTTGCCTTTCAGCATCTTGGCTATGTGGAGTGAACAGGTTTTCCTATTTTGTCTTAGATATAGTTGACCCACCACCTGTGCAAACGCAAGGGCAGGTGAACGATGAGAATAGAAGGCCCCAGAGGAGGAGATCAGGTATGTTACCTGATTGTAAATTGTCCAAAGTAATTGAATTTAATTCTTCAAAGCAACTGAATTGCCCTCTTTCTGCATTACTTCTGTAATGCAACCTTTCACAGAAGGATAAATATTAATTACTCCTAATTCATTCAGTATATTCCTGCTTTAGTTGAAGGCTAGAACAGTTCAATGTTTCTGTGTATGAAAAACTGAAAGAATTACCACAAAAGGACATCTCTATAATCCACAAGGGCCTGAGGTCTTATGGAGTAATATGGCTTTGATAGCATTAGCCCAGGAAGCTGTGCTGCTCCAGGAGAAATGTTTCAAATCTAAGTCAAAATGTAAAATGAATTAGAATGCAAGAACTTGTTCCTGTAAAGTTCAGTAGAGTTGGAAGTTAAGCAAAATAGTTCTAAATTAAATAGAATTATTTTTCACTATGTTGGAATACAGTTAGGCCTCAACTTACGACCAGAATTGAGTCCCAAATTTCCATTGCCTAAGCAAGACCGTTGTTAAGTGAGTTTTGCCTCGTTTTACGACCTTTCTTGCCACAGCCGTTAAGTGAGTCACTGGGAGTTGTTAAGTTAGTAACACAGTTGTTAAATGAAATTGGCTTCCCCATTGTGTCTTAAAGGCACAAAAGGTGATCACACGATCCCAGGACACTGCAACCTTCATAAATACATGCCAGTTGCCAAGCGGCCAAATTTTGATCATGTGACCGTGGGGAGGGGGTTGCTGCAACAGTCGTAAGCGTGAGAAACGGTCATCAGTCACTTTTTTCAGCGCTGTTGTAACTTTGAATGATCGCTAAAAGAATGGTTGTAAGTCGAAGGCTACCTGTATTAACAAGATTCAGAAGCAAAATTTCTCGGAAGCTTCTGATTTGATGGATGCCTTCTGTTGAGTGCAAGGAGATCTCTTGTCAAATTCTAGGTATTCATGCCAGTCAAGCATGAACAGAATGAGAAGTATCAGATCAGCCAGCTTGCTGGCATCACTTCTGTGGCATTCAAATGATGTTGAAAAAACACAGCATTGTGCATTGCCTTAAGCAAGGAGCACGTGAGGTCAAGCCTTGCTTTGTCTAAAATGAAATGAATCCTCGCTAGGAGATTGTAACATCTTCTGTTTAGGAAATAGAAGGACTAGGAATCGTTCCAGAGGACAGAATCGCCCAGCTGCTGTGAAAGAGAATACAATAAAGTTTGAAGGTGACTTTGATTTTGAAAGCGCCAACGCGCAGTTCAACCGAGAAGAATTGGATAAAGAATTCAGGAAGAAACTTAATTTCAAGGGTTAGTATTTGAGCTGTTTCTTGTATCCCAGTCCCCCCCCTCCTTGGTCTGGGTGAAAGGAAACAGCCAGTACAGGGGTCTCTAAACTTGGCAACTTTAAGACTTGTGGACGTCAATCCCTAGAATTCCTCAGCCAGCACATGTGGACTTCAACTCCCAGAATTCATCAGCCAGCCACGCTGGCTGAAGGATTCTGGGAGCTGAAGTCCACACGTCTTAAAAGTGCCGAGTTTGGAGACCCCTGATCTAGTACCGATATAGCTTGTTATATATGCACATTTTAAAATAATGATTTCTCCCCCTAACCCTTATCAGATGATAAAGTTGACACCAGTGAAGAAAAGGGAGAGCCTACTATGGCTGCTGAAAACTGGGATGACAATCCAGATGAAGATCTTCTGGGACCCAACTGCTATTACGACAAAACAAAATCTTTCTTTGATAACATCTCATCAGAACTGAAGGCTAGGTAACCGTAACTCTAGCAGCTTTATTGTATCTCTTCCACGCTAATTCTATTAGTTTAATGTTTTCTCCTGGTATCCCTCTTCTATACCCCAATATTGAGCAGAAATTTGCTTTTCAACAAATGAATCTCCTTAAAACTGCAGTCCCGGGTCCTTTTTCACTTGCAAATGAATGCCTTTCTCAGTTTTGTACTATATTGCATATTTTACCCACAGCCCTTCCCAGATTATTGAAGCCATGCTTGAAAAGCCCTAATTAAGATTTTAATGAGAGAGGGAAGCAGACAAAAGAAGTCAAATGTATATAACATATTCTTGGCAGGAAGTAACCCATAAATACTGCTGCTTGGTTACTGAATCTTTTATCCCTAATTCATCCTTCTGAAATTACTTGATCTACATGTTTTGGAAAATTCAGCCACAACAATACGATTGGAAAAATTACAATCATAAAAGCACATTTTTAATATTTTGTGACATTCTTGGTGTGGGAAATGATGCGGTGGCTTTAGTCGTGCTCTTTGCTTGAGACAAGAGTTTTACAGCAGGAAGTTAAAGAGAACTTGACTGTAGTTAACAAGAGTCCTGGTTACTTTTGTTCTTTAGTTCGCGGCGTACAACATGGGCTGAAGAGCGGAAGCTGAACACAGAGACTTTTGGTGTTTCTGGACGATTTCTCCGTGGCCGCAGTTTTCGTGGGGGATTCCGTGGTGGAAGGGGGTCTGGAGCCGGGCGGCGAAATCAAACTACTCCCAGAGTTGGTACTGGAAGAGTTTGAATTCTGCAGGTAAGTTACAGAATTAAAGTATTTTAGGTTCAGCTTTCTTAGAGCAGCTGGGATGAATAAAGACAATTAAATTGTTTGTTTATAATGAGTCTGTTCCTCAAAATTAATTAGACTCTTTGGGGAGGGATATTTAAAGTAGTGAAATAGTTGCTTTTACAGTAGTCCGAGCTTTTCTCATAGGGAGAATTTTTCAAGGACTTTGTAATCCTCAATTTATGACCGTAATAGAACCTGCCCATTACGGTTATACATTTTTGATCATCATGAAGTGGATCCCACATGGCCGACCCCCAACTTTACGATCTTTTTTGTATTAGTCATTAAGCGAGTTCGTGATTATTAAGCAAAGGCCACCGTCATTAAGTTGCTTAAGACGGGACATTTTATGCCAAAAGTAAATGTCCGGTTTTGGTGGTGATGTCATCAATCACAGTTGCATGACTGGGATGCTGCAAATGGTCAGAAATGTGGGCCAGTTGCCAGGCACCCAAAATGCAATCACATGACCAGGAGTGGCCATCGAATCTTCAGAAAGAGATCTTATTTGCAACTTTGGGGACGTCTGTTGTAACTTCAGACAGTCACTAAGTGGAGGACTAGCTGTACATAATTAACCTTTAGGACTTAAAATGCTTTCAATGTACTTGTAAGGTGATATCAATCAATCAATCAGAATAGAGCTGGGAGGGACTTTGGAGGTCTTCTAGTCCAACCCCATGTTCAAGCAGGAGACCCTATACCAGTGATGGCGAACCTTTTAGGGACCGAGTGCCCAAACTGCAACCCCAAACCCACTTATGTATCGTCGGGTACCGGGTGGGTGTGACCCGTTGGGTGGGCGTGGCTGCAGTGGTAATGGCAGACTGGGTGGGACTAAAAAGCTCAATCAATTCCAACTTTGTGAGATCTTTTTTTTCTGTGAGAAGTTGAAATTGATTGATTGAACCTTTTTTTTTTTTTGCACACTGTGGCGGAGGCCTAAAGTGAAAAGGTTTTATAAAACCCAGCTGAAGGCCCAGGACTGGGGCGACGGCGCGCGTGCCCAGAGAGGGCTCTTGAGTGCCACCTATGGCATGTGTGCCATAGGTTCACCACCACGGCCCTATACCATTTCAGACAAGTCTGGGAATCGTAAACACCCAATGCCCTGTTCTTGGGAAAAGGTTAACGATGTCTCCTATGCCTCCACTCCTTTCTTACTCATTTGAAGTAAATGAGCATCCAGCAGTCTAAGACAAATAGATAAAAGAGTCAACTTTGCAGTGAGATGGGCAGCGAACACATTTAATAAATTTGTTGGGTATTTGAAAAAAAAAACAACACCATGTCTCTCGTTTTATTTTAGAGCTTTCAACCACATTGCTACGAAAAATCATGTACATAGGAAGGAGGGAACAATACAAACTGCTGCACTTAAAAAAGAATGGGTGAATGAATTTTTTACCTTCACAAGCCTGAAATTCGGATGGGATTATTGTTATCAGACAGTGTCGTCTACCCTCGTGACCCTAATGAAGTTGCCCTCGCACGAGTCCTAGGTGGCTGAGCTCAAGAGAAGAGGGGGGGGGGGGTTAAAAAGAGAAAAACGCCCACTCCCAGAAAACATTCATCACGTTCCTCGGACACGACGAAGAGTCAAGATCGGCGACAACATCAACTTGTGTCCCTCGCGAACAAGAGTTCCTAAAGAAAGGGATGCAATTCTGAACTCTTCAAAAAAATAATAAAAAATGAAACCAGCGACGAACGGACAGTCTGCTGGTGTCCTTCTGACTTCTATGCTTTTTTCTCTTCACCTTCCTCGTCCTCCCCCCTCCCCCCCCCTTTGGAGCAGATTGTTTTGATGTCTAGAAACCAATTCTAGTGCAAAAAAATGTTGTGTGTGTGATGTAGTGATGGGATTTGTTGCTGACCATGTATCTGTAAATTCTGACTTGCCACTTGGAGAAATCTTTTCTCTGGAGAGTTACACGCTGCAGAGTTGCTTGGAGTGCTGGTCACCCCTTCTCGGAAGAATGAGTATCTCCCAACGGATCCGGGAATAATGCCATTGTCGATTTTCTAACGATGAGCCGTTCTACGCCACTGCGCATTTTCGGTAGGCGGAGAAAGCGAAAACTCACATCCTGCCCTTTCAGCAAAATTTTGAGGGATCTTTTTTTTAATCTCTCTTGATTTAAAGGGGGAACAGTTCCAAGCTTCATTGTTTTGTCTCAAAAACGCGAGGTGCAACTTGTAAACGAAGCTTGGGGCATTCAGTAAATTCAGCTGCTCTTATCATCCCCCAACTTTATATAAATAGTTCATTTTTTTGTGTGTGTTTTTAAAATAGTTGTGGAGGATATGAGCACACAGGGATTATACACTTGCATGGAAATGGATAAAGCCTTTAGTAATAGGTTTGTGCTACTTTTGTTATCTTGTAGAAATATTTTGTTGAAAGGCTTCCGTAGCGGAGGCCACGTCTCCTCCCTGCCTCCCCCCATTTCCATGGCTCCCCTAGGTCTTGCATTAAGTTGGTGTAAAGCTTTAGTTTCTTTTGTAGGCCTTCATCGCACAGAGTGACACGTTGTGGTGAGGTCGCATTATGGAGTCATGTAAATTGTAATTATAAATAAAACATGTAAATGTTTAACGTGTTCTCAGCTTTTTGGTTTTTTTAAAAAAAAGTTTTCAAGCAAAAAGGGATTAGACAACTTGCAAATCAGGATGATGCTGTATTTAGGATGCCCAGAATTAGATACACGATTTCTCAAGTTAAGAAAAAAACACCCACCCACATTTTCTGCTTCCTTCAAAAGCACTGTCATACAAGTAACATGTTAACTGCATGTCATTTAGCTTGTTCTTTATTGCTGAAGTTTCAACATTTTCTCCTGGGAGCCTAGCGACTTGCTCCTTAATCTCTTATTTTGAAACGTAAATACTTCTGTCTAGATAAAGAGATGCCGAAAGGCTTGGTGAATAAAACTTCGGCAACCATTAAAATTTTCCTTTTAGGAAAACCAATCTGAGGCCACCAAAGTTTGGCATTTTTAAATAGTTAACATTTGTGTCTTATGAAACATAACCTTATGCTACACATTGCAGTTCGTGGGGACCATCTGAAAGAAGAGCAAAATGGTTGCTTAAAAGAGAAAAAAAAAATATCCTTGCAAAGCACACACCAGCATGTAATCGAACAAAATAGACAAAGGTCCATTGAGTGTCTTTGAGCAGATTTAAAATTTTGATGGATTTGTGCCACACACTTACTAATGAAAACAACTAAATCTGATTATGCAACTCACAATTCAAATTAGACGTTGGATGATTTACAACACATTCCTAGATGTTCTGTGAAGATAGTAATTAATCTTGCAAAGAAGCCAACCTTTGACCCACGTAGACTATTCTTATTGACGTAGACTATTCTTATTGACGCCAGTTCTGCAACATATCAACTTTCCAGTACTGGCTATACATGTGAATACTGCAAGGGGGATCTGTGTGGTTTATAACAGAGCAATAGCCTCTTACTTGCATAATATTGCTTAACACCTACCAATTTGAGCTTTAGAGATTAATAGGCTGCCCTGATAAAGCAATACTTGGGAGGTTTATAATGTTAGAACACATTTTTCTCGAATCTGGTAATTGGCAGTTCAAGTATTAATACTGATAAACAAAAATCCATTAGAAACACACCCTTTACAACTACTTGCTCTGAAAGTAACACTGGGGTTAATGGAAGCATCCTGCTATCACTTCAGAAGTCAAGTTTCTTCAGTTTTTAAATCAGTAGAATAAATCATGTGGGACATCTATACTGATCTTGAAAATTATTTTTCCATTCATTACTATATCTGAGTCTTTGAATTTGATCTTTGTGAATCAAAGATAGCGCGCTATCTTTCAAAGGCTCACAAGTATTCCCCAGCACATGCCACAGGGACAATAGCTATATTCTTCCAGCGTTCAGATCTGTCCTGTGAACTTTGACTTAGCCCTGATCTAATTTTCTACCTTATTTTCTCTGGGCTGCAAAATCAGAAGGGACAGTTATTCAAGGAAGAGAGATTTTTTAAAAAAATCTTTTGCTGTAATGCTTATTTGCTCTAAGCTACACTAAAACCCTCTTGTTCTAACGATTCAACTTAATAGCCACTATTTTCCAATTGTTCTATGTGGAAATACTTTTCAACAGATTGCATCCTTTAGGGTGTTTTATGTGATAAACCATACGCAAACGGTTGATAAACTTCAAAACCTAACAAATTGAGGACACTGAACTACTAACGGACGTTGACTGTTTTCTTGTTTTGGTCTAATCGAACATTCTTTTCACGAGTTGTGGTTATATAAAAAACTTTTTCGTTCTAATACCGTTGTAAAAGTATTAAAGTCCCGCTGTAATGAACCATGGTCCCATCCTGAGTCTGTATGAGAATTTCTATGACTACCTGCCAAAATGATTTTGTTGAATTTTACCGCCATGCAGTTAGAAATTAATTCACACATAGATCTACTGTCAAACATTCAACAGAGATCACGTTTACATTTTATCTTTCATATTTAAGTGCAAGACTTAATTATGAACCATTTCCACATTATGTTGGAGTGACGTTTCAGCAATTTTAGGCTTCGTCAATCATTACCCTGATGAATTTTAACAAATTGGAACATAAACATGAGCAATGCAGCAGTGGTGATAAACAGTAATAGAATAATAGTAATAAAAGGTATCTTCTATGTCAAATTGTGCATTCCTCAACAAGTTATGAAAACATTTTCTATTTTTGTTTAGAAAAACGGGTATTATTGCAGTCTGGCTTTTATATATATATATATATATAAACATACATATAAGAACGGAGCCTCTTCTAGTAACAAGGTTAAAAAAACAGGTGGTTTATTGTAGACCTCTTAAAAGGGGGCAGAGAACAAGGAAATAGAATGCTTACATATCTATACAGACTCATGATTGATTTAAAAACCAAAACTAAAGAAATTCATCATGTGGTAGTTTTCTTCTGTTTCTTCTTCTCATTCTCTTCTTTCTCTTTTTCAATTTCGGCAACGTATTTTTCAATTTCATCAGGGCTCAGTATCTATAGAGAAGTGATGAGATTACAATCAATTGGTCAGTTCCAAGTCTTATGTAACCAGATGTAGCCGGTTTCCTAACAAATTCACCCATCCTCTGAAGGATTCTCATTGATCCAGTGGTAATAGCAAGAGAGTAACAGTACAATTAAGCAAGCCAGGTGAAGAGAAAAACAGGTAAATCCATTACCTATTTTATTCACCCCCATCTTTTCTAGTCCTCTTAGATCAAGGATGCTGCTGTTAACTAAATGTGAAATCACTATGCAATATTTTTTTTTCATTTGAGGCAAAATTTCATATTGCATTTATAATGTTCTACACCAGGGTCCCCAACCCCAGGACCGGCACCTGTTCAAGGCCTGGCAGGAACTGGGTCACGCAAGCAAGCAAAGCCCCATTCGCACACACATGGGATCCAGACTGCACATGAAACCACACCCTCCACGGGCCGCAGAAAACTGCCCTCCATGGAACCGGTCCCTGGAGCCCAAAAGGTTGGGGATCACTGTTCAATAGTACAGTATTTTTCTAACTGCGGGATTTTAAGTGGTATGGACCGGAGTTCCTAGAATTTTTGGGATTTGGCTGAGGAATTCTGTGAGTTGAAATCCACACATCTTTCAAGTTATCCAGCTTGAAAAATTCTGCTGGAATGTATATATCAATAAAGGCATGAAATGGAATGAGTGAAACAGAATGGCTTGGAATGATTTATTCCTTTATTTAGGCTTCAGAAGTATCATGTATAGATGCCAATTATCTATATTATTTATTAGGAAGCCATTACATTTCAAGTGCAGAGCTCTTTTGCAAGCAACTAAAGACCATGATACAGCAACTAATCCTCAAAACAAAAAAATAGTATTACTTAAATCAGTTTACCTTGAGAGGTTGGCTTCTTCTCATAACAGCCAGCTCAATATTTTTTCCACCAGACTGTACAACCTTAAATTGCAGAAATTCAGAAAAAGACTTTGTTACAAATGTGTTACAATTAAGGATTTTTTTGCAATGAAAAAAGATGACATCCCATTTGAACTACATGACACATCTAAGAGTACTTCAATCTAATAAATTTAAAACACCCAGAAAAAGTGTATTTCCTCCAAGTCAATCTTAAAACCAGGCAAAGAACTCTGGCTCTTAATTTTACTGAATGAAATTAAAGAATACTAAATTATTAGGGCACTATTTAGCTTGTTCATTATCAAAATAATCAAATTAGGAACAATTCAAATGTTGACACTTACTTCAAGAAGGGCTTTGATAACAAGTTTAATTGTCAGATCATCAGTTTCAATGGCTTCATCAGTATAGTTTTTCTCCAGAAATTCCCGCACGGATTTTGCTCCTCTGCCAATTGCATTAGCCTAGGATAAGAAATATACTTGGCAAAGCTTGGCAAACTGATGAAAAATGTCAACGAAATATTAACATATTTAAATGTTTCATCTGATAGCCTAAAAATGCCTCCAGTTAATATTTAACAATTATCAGATACTATGAAACCAAATTGCAAGTGTTTGGATCCAAGTAACATAAACAATCTCCCAACATGCAATATTCCTAGTGAAAGATATAACAGTTCTTTTTTCCACAAAGTGACAAAGCCTATTGATGGCTAAATTCCAGGTCCAATTACTGCATACCTCTACTCCTCCATATTTCTAAGCTCTAGGGAAAGCAGTCAAGACAAAAGTATTTCACAGCACAAGGCTACAATATTATGGTGCCTGTCCCATGTAACAGCCTCCCTTGAAGACCCCAACTCCTCTGGCCTTCTGGAAGGTAGCAAAGAGCTAGCTTTTCCCCCAATCCTGGGCTGAGATGTTAGGGAAACCCACTGTAAGTGCAGTTTATGTGGTTCAGTTTGTTATATTGTGCTTTTGCTATTGTACAATTCTTTTAATTATTTGGACAGAGGTTGAGTTTTAAAAGTTACTACCGTGTTTTCCCAAAAGTAAGACCTACCCTGAAAATAAGCCCTAGCTTGATTTGGGGGTGGGTGGGTCTAATATAAGCCCTACCCCATAAATAAGCCCTAGTTTTGGGGCAAGGCTCATGCCTAAAAATCAAGCTAGGGCAGGGTGGGGTGGGAGCTGCCCCACAGGCCCCACTTACCGTTGCAGCCAGGTCTCCCATGAATAGACACCTGCTTTGCCTTGCTGGCCCAGTTCTTCTGTGGTGCTCCCCAACCAGCATTTCGACGTCAGAGACCTCCAGAAAAGCCTCTATCAGCAAAATGGAAGCCAGGGGGTGCCACGGACATCAAGCCGAGGCTGCAATCTCAGCTGCAGAGGCATTTCCTTCAGCTGGAGAAGAAGTTGGCCAGCTGGGCAAGGCTGTTGGTACCCCCGCTGCGAGGTGAGACTATGGAAAACACCCACCCACCCCCCAAAAATAAGACCTGGTGCCTCTTTTGGAGGCAAAGAAATATATAAAAATAAGACTGGGTCTTATTTTCAGGGAAACGCAGTATATTGGTCTTCATTGTTGTTGGCTACCCAGAGTTCATATGTAAGATGGGCAACCATGTGAATTTTCTACATCTAAACAAATATTTTTTAATAAGAATGAAGTCATTCCAACTGTCGACTGGAAAGTTCTACAGTACTATCGCTATCAAAAAAACAATAACCATTCCTACAAATAATAGAAAGCAAATGGCAAAAGAAATTTTAACCAAAGGGTTGCCATAAATTATTTTGTAACATTTTGGCTGTTGCTTCCACTATCGTTCAACATGGGTTAGCTTTTCATTTTAAAATGTTTATTTATTTATTTATTTATTTATTAAATTTACTTGCCACTCATCTCACCTTGGGGCTACTTTTCTAGTAGTCCATTAAATCCTATGCAAAGCAGTGAACTCATTTGCTTAACCATGTTTCATTTCGCCAGGTTCACATATCTTGTCGAACCAAACCAGTTACATTATGGTTAGTATGATATATGAACCTAGTCTAACTCTGGTTCTCCATATAAATAAAAGCAGAAAAATACATGGATTATGAATAATAGGGAATGTACTATTTTGAACCACAGTATGGTTAACCGGCTTTTAAAAAGGGAATATCTAATCCAGAATTGGAGAGAAAGGAATAAGGAAAAAAAGATTAGGTTAACCCAGGGGTAGGCAACCTTGGCTCTTTTATGACTCGTGAATTTCAACTCCCAGAATTCCTGAGCCAGCATGACTGGCTCAGGAATTATGGGAGTTGAAGTCCACGAGTCATAAAAAAGTCAAAGTTGCCTACCCCTGGGTTAAACTGTTTAATACTTTCTGATCTTCCATAGATTATGAGAGAATGAATTAATCTGATGGAAGGATTTACTTATATGATTTAAGTGCTCTTTCATTTTCATCTTCACAAAATCTAATGGGTCAACTCACCTTCCAAGCATGGTAGGTGCCAGATGGGTCAGTCTGATATAGCCTCGGAGTTCCATCAAAGTCAAACCCTACAATAAGGGCAGAAATACCAAAAGGTCTGCGGCCATTACTCTGGGTGTATCGCTGAGAAAAAAGGGGAAAAAAAGGTGTTACAAAAATAGAACTACTGCTAACTGTATGCCAAGAGATGTAACAATTTACGAACCAGTACTTGGCAACTAAGAAATTAGATTATGTTCTGAAGAGATCAAAAAGATTTTAAGAGCAAAAGTCCCTGTTTCAGACAGCAGTTCAGAATTCAAAACAGACTGAAGTTGAAACTTAGCCCCAGATCAAAGCAAAACTTCTGAATGATCAAACAGCACTGAAATATTTTCAGCAAGTGTAGAACAGCTGTTTCAGAGTACTATTTTCAACTCCATGCTTTTTGAAAGTTACAAAACAGTACTCTCTATTTTTTTGGAAAACTAAATTTACTTGTAACCCAAAAGATGTTGAAGAATTAATATTTTAAACATCTGATTGCTCATTAATCATTAATCCAGCCTGGAATTCGCAATTTTTCCAAATGCATATTTAAGAACTGAAAAACATCTTCATGTTATCATACACTTTAATTAAAGGAACATCATTAAGTTGGCAAAGATGGAAGCAAGTATAGGTAGTCCTCAACTTACAAGCACAATTGAGGCCAACATTTATGTTGCTAAGTGAGACCTTTAAGTGGGTTTTGCCCCATTTTACGACCTTTCTTGCCACAGTTGTTAAGCGAACCACTGTTGTTAAGTTAGTAGCACAGTTGTTAAGTGAATCTGGCTTCCCCATTGACTTTGCTTGTCAGAAGGTTGTAAAAGGTGATCACATGATCCCAGGACACAGCAAAGGTCATAAATATGAGTCAGCTGCCAAGTGTCTGAATTTTGATCATATGACCATGGGGACACTACAACAGTCATAAATGTGAAAAATGGTCATAAGTCACTTTTTTCAGTGATGTAACTTTGAATGGTCACTAAATGGACTATTGTAAGTGGAGGGCTACCTGTATGTAAATCTGCAAAAAAAATCAAACATAATATCTAATAACTGGGATAGGAAACATTATTTCCTACTATCTTTTATTTTTGGGGAAAAAAACTAGATTTTATTTTTGGCCAATAAAAGCAGCTATATTATATTCCATTTTTGCCCAAATTTTGCAATAAAACCAAGCAATGAATATGGCCTTTAAACAAATGTACATACCTGCTTCAGGCTAGCAATATAACGTGTAATATATTCCACAGTGACAGGATCTTCCACTGTAAGTCTATGGCTTTGGCATTCCACTCGGGCTCTATTTATAACTATCCGGGCATCTGCTGTGAGACCTGTAAATAATAGTTCAAAATATCAAAATTTGCCTTTAGCAAAGTAGGTAAAAATATTTTTACTTTAGTAAGCTCGTTAAATGAATATTTATTTTATGCCTATATAATATATTCATCTTATGTTCCAGAAAAAAATATTCTTTTGATGTGGATAAATGATATGTGCATTCCCAGCATACTTTCATTATGATATCTAATGAGCCTCCCTGTGATGATTCTGAATGAAAAAGGGCAGAGGAAAGATTAACCTGACATTTTGTGACTGCCATTCTTCCACTCAGATTGTTAATGCAGCTTTTAATTGACAAAAAGAAATAGAGCAAAGAGTGTTGTGCTCCTAAATCTGATTGTTAAGTAAAAAAATGAACCAGGGCTGTAGAATTCTATCTTTCAGGGCTGGCTAACCTGATTGGTAAAATCAGGAAAATTTAATTTCAAGAATCTCCCAGTCTTCTAGAGCAGACAGCATTCGAACAGCAGAGTTTTAATCCTATTAAATCCACCCACACCAGCTGGGGGGAGTGGTGGGCAGAGTAAAATGGGGAATTGAACACTGCTACTGAAATATTTGACAAAAGAATGACACTGTCATATTCAAGTCAAAATAATTAAATTTCCATTAATAGAAAAATGAATGGACATTTCTGAACCATTTATAATTTTTTTTCTCAACATTCAAAGTAGAATACTATTTGATTATAAAGATTTGAATTTCAAAAACTAATTATAATAATTAACTTTAAAGTACTTTTTTTAAATAAAAGATTTAAAATTGACCTGAGGGATAAAGAAAACAGTCCTTCATTATATTTTCAGAACAAAGAGAAGAGAAGAAATCTCCACAGATTTTTTTTCCTAGCCTTAATATTTTTAATTTGTTGAGATTCTTTGCAAATAAAAAAACAACGATCCACAGGAACAGTAATTTCTAGTCTTTGTAGCAAGGAATGTACTGGCTAAGAATTCTCAGATTTATAGTTTCACACATATCTAAAAAAAAAGTGAAACTGGGGGAAGGCTGTATGAAGAAAACCCATCATCAGAGTACCTGCAAAAGCCATGCAGACGTTGTCATCAAGAGCACAGATCTTTCGGACAGTTCTCTCATCTTGCAGTTTCGCCACAGATTTTTTCTCCACACCAAGAACTACAATATCTTTTCCTCGTACTCCAACCTATAATATGAAATGAAGGCGTAAGTACCATATCAAGCACCTTCCCCATATATTAGTTTTTTTAAAAAAATACCAATAGCAAAACAAATGCCTTTTTATCATTTCAGACTAGAATCATTCCATATTCTACACGGGAGATGTCTACTTAGATTGAACCTGGAACTTTAATTATCCAAAACAAAAGTTGAATCAAAGTATAGTTTTGTTGCTAAATATTATCTGATATGAACATTTGCACTTTAACATGTATGGCAATGTTTCTCAGTGGTTTTAACTGGTAACAGAAATATATTCAAACAAA